CGGGGGGGGGGGGGGGACCAAAGTATGAATCCGTGTAGAAATTTTTGGAAATAATAGAGGGTTGTAACTGGGAAAGGATGTTTCTCCCAGACGCATGTTCATAAAAATATTCGTCTTTTTCTTTGTATCTAGAACTCATCCTTACTTTTGTGTCACACTTTTAATTTACGCTTTACATCCACACTTTACACACGGCTTTGGGTTTATAATAATATTATAAAGGAGGGAAAAGTAGTCATTGTGCTTAATTAAGCACGACACAATAAAGACGTGTCTAAAAGACGTATACAAGAATTACTCGGTACTAGATGGACGGAATCTCACACCCCGGCTACTGTAATCTCGGTGTAGGAGACACGGTGTATCTCAGAGTCGGTCAGGACTTCGTCTCTACAGAATAATTCCTACCCTTGATGGGAATCGAACTCTCGTCTTTCAACCTACAGCGTATTCATTGTATTTCCTTAAATCGCCCGGCGCCCCAAGAATAATGTAATTGTATTAATATTTTATTTGAATTAAAATATTCCGATATTGTGATCTAGGGCTATATGCTAGGGGTTGGCGAAATTTTCATTAAGTAATCGGCATTGGAGAACACCCATGCTTCACATAAAATTTTGGTTCTTTTATAAATTCTTTGCTCATAACATTCAGTCATGAGACAATGAATTGTTTTTTCCTTGTTATTCATCGTTTGTTTGTCTAAGATTCTTCGTGTAACTTTAAACATGTATAAAGGATTTCTAGTTGTAACTTTGGTTTCTAGAAATGGGCCTGTACATTATAATTAAATGAAAAATAGCTTGGTTAAATGCACACGTAACTTATATCATTTTATGATATTAATTACTGCAGTTATGAAATTTAAAAGACGTAATTTACAACAAACCTGAATGAAGTTCTCAAGTGGACCAACTATTTTAACCGCTTTTGTGCTTCTAACGTATTAAACCGCTTTACAGAAACCTTTGTTCATTAATGGATTTTATAACAGTATAAGTCAAAATAAATTTATTCCTCCCGGTATCTCGGCAATTAAAGTGTTGTTTTTTTCGTTGGAGATTTTTAAAGTAATGAAACTTCTAACTTGTCATGGAAGCATTTGTAAATATAACATTTTAATAAAGAATTCAGCA